TTTTTTTGGTACCGGGGATTAAACTTGAGACCTTGTACTTGCGAGGCAGGCAGTGGCACGACTGAGCTAAATCCCCAGGCCCTGATCTTCAATCTTAACCACGCGTGAAAACAATCTGAAGATAACTTAAACAAAGCCTCAACATCCTACCTACACATACTGAATGAGAAATCTTGGGGCAGGACTCACTATTTCGAAGTAAGTCACCAAAACTGAGAATCACTATTTTCTCTTTGATGATGGAAACATCTTTGTAACCCCAGTATCTGCCAACACAGCCTGGATACAAAACTACTTTTTAAAATGTCTAATGAATAAATATATGAATAGATTTGTACCTGTACATTAAAAATAGTTTACTACCTGCTGAATGAGAATCATCCTTCTTGGTCTTCACATCTTTTTCTTCTGAGTCTTCACTGCAAAGGGGAAAAAGGAAATGCTTAAAAGTCTGAGATTAAAATATAAAGGAACACAAATCTCTTGATACCTGACTTGAGAATGACACCAAAAAGTACCTCTTCTGTATATAAAATATTCAAAGAAATGCTGAGGAGTGAAACTGCTTCTATTATTTGCTCACTTTACTGGGATGCTGAATAAAAATAATTTTATCAATGTGGAAAACAAATTGCAAAGGAAATAGGTATTTCAACATAGCCTATTTATAAGATTTAATAAGAAAAAATATCTTCTATAGAGGGGTAGGGAATAAAAACATTAAAATGGAAATGAATCAGTTTAATTATCTAATAATTATTTACTAATAATTTCTGTTTCCAATATGAGTGAATGTAAGACCATTCTGCAAAGTAAGTTAAAGAGCTTCAAAGCTAAAAATAATCTGTAAACATACATGTGTTAAATCTCTAGCAAGGCCTAACTCGGGAATCTGGGTTCTAGTGCTCACTGCTGTCCCTTTTTATTGTTTCATCTCAGGCAAATCACTGCTGCTCTTCAGTGCTGACATCTTAAGATTTCACAAGCAAAGTCTGACAAGTAACACTCATACATTAAAAACTGTTCTCACAGCTTTCCTTTTTAAAACAGATGTTGTTGGGCTGGGGATTTAGCTCAGTGGTGCCACCACCTGCCTCGCAGCAAGCACAAGGTCCTGAGTTCAATTCCCAGTACAAAAATAAATAAATAAATAAATAAATAAAATAGATCTTGTAACTAACTTTTGGAATTCCTCATAATCTAGACCATATTCAAATGTTAAATTATGGAGCCTGAGAGTCCACATAGAGCAACCAAAAGTCATTCATTCACTCACTCACTCACTGACACTGGGGACTGAACCCAGGGCCTTTGCTACCTCCCCAGCCCTTTTGTATTTTTTATTTTAAGGAGGATCTCACTAAATTGCTTAGGCTAGACTTGAACCTGTACTCCTCCTGCCTCAGCCTTGCAGAGTGCTAGGATTACAGGTAGGTGCATCCATGCCCAGCTCCAAAATATTAAGCAGTCTGAGTCCAAGACGATTGTACTGTGACTATTCTGCATTAATATTTCTATGCCAAGTAAGCATTCAGTGGGTATAATTCAGTGGTGCAGGGCTCAGCACAGGCAAGGTCCTGGGTTCTGTCACCAGCACAACAAAAACAACAACACATTTAATTCATAAATTTAACTGATGATGAAAAATAACATCATTTTTGGGGTTATTTTAATGAGTTTATAAAGACTTTTAACCCTTTAACACCTTTACAGCAAAGTCAAGTGAAAGCTGAACTTTTTTTTTTTTTTTTTTTTTTTTTTTTTTTTGGTATTGAGGATTGAACTCAGGATCTTGCACTTGCGATGCAGGTGCGGTGCCACTGAGCTAAACCTTGGCCTAAGCTGAACTTTTTTTTTTGGTTTTCTGAGACAGGGTCTCACTATGCAGTTCAGGCTGTCATGAACTTGTGGCTGTCCTCCAACCTTGCCCTCCTAGGTGCTGGGACTACAGGCGTGCATTACTATACCTGGCTTGAAAGCTTAACTTTTAAGTGGAGACCAATATAAAAATCAATGTAGCACTGGTCTGAGGAAATATACACAAGGCATTTAATATAAATGGTGATTCAAAAGTAGAGAATGACAAAATGAAATGGTTATAACAAAAAAATTTAGGCTAGATATAATTATATTGGTAAGATATTAAAAAAGGCCACAAGCAGCTTGTTACCAGGAGAAATTTAAGTGGAGATAATGAAAACTAGTGGGGCTGCTATATAAAATGTGACTAAAAACCAGATGTGGTGACGCACACTTCTAATCCCAACACCCAGGAAGGCTAAGGCAGGAGGATGGCAAGTCTGAGTCTAGCCTGGCCAACTTAACTACTGAGAGGCTGTCTCCAAGTTTAAAAATCTGTAAAAGAGGACCGAGGATGAAGTTCAGTGTGAAGGCCCTGGATTCAATCTCAAGTTCCAAAAACAACAAAAAAGCTAAGGGGCTAGAGATATTTACTCTGGAATATTTGTTTCCCAATGGTAAACTCTGTTTCATTTTTTCTGAAAAATAATAAACATTTTCCAATAAAGTGAACAGAAGTTAATGATATAAACAAATAGAAAATATTAGGTAAACACTTACATTTAGTAGTGATTTTAGTGTACCAAGGTTGTTACAAAAGCAAGTGATAAATATTTCACTTCTTTAAACTACTCATGCCTAACAGTATTATTTGGAAGTATTACAGCCTAATGATTAAAACACAGTGGGGCCCAATCACGTTATCAAAACATCCTTGTCCATTTGCTGGGTAAATTTGCTTAAGTTTACTTGAGTAAACTGAGCCTTCTAAGTTAACAACAGTTAATTTCAGAGCAGTATTGTGAGAATGAAATGATAACGTATACGAAAGGCCTTAATATCAACAAATTGTGGCTACAATGATGAGAATGTGCGCAGACTTCTTGAAACAGGCAGAAGTTATGAAGCAAAACTATGAATTACAACTCACAGCAAAGCCATCTGTAAAAACTAACAGGGAAAAAAGAGTGAGGCTAGAAAGTACTTGCTTAGCATGTTCAAGGTCCTGGGTTCAGTCCCCAGCAATATGAAACAAAAATACAAACTGCGGTGGCCAGGGATTTAGCTCAGTGGTTCCACTGCCTGCCTCACAAGCACAAGGACCAAAGTTCAATCCCCGGTGCCAAAAAAAACAAAAAACAAAAAAACCCACAAGCTGGGTGTGGAAGGATCATGCTGCTTGGAGTCAAAGCTACTTAGGAGGCTGAGGTAGAAGGATCCTAAGTTCTAGGCCAGTTTGAGGAACACAGACCAGTTTTTCAAAAAGAAAAGAAAAAGAAACTGCATAAAATGATTCAATTATTTAAACAAAGAGTTATGAGACAGAAAAATTCAGTAGCTTAAGATCCTACAAGCCTTAAGTATGATTCTACCTACTTCTAGTGACTGATTCTGAGTGGCCACTTGTGTTTTGTTATTCACGACAATGTAAATTTAAGCACTAATACTAATTTCAAGTCACATATTATATACTTAACCTTTCTGCTCGTGTTCAGAGGTCTGAGGCACAGGAAGGACATTCTTGTACATCAGCTTGGATTCAAAGCTGAAGCCAAGCGAGAACTCCAGGTCTAAGGAGACCCAACATATCCAGCCCCCAAGGCCCAGCCTGAGACAGTGTGAGCCACGCACAACAAAGGGAAAGCCAAGCCAAGCCTCTCAAGTGTCGCAAGAGTCCACCACTTCAGAGGCCAGAGACTGCCCTCACTTCAGAGAGGCAATGAGAAAGCGCTACAGAAACAACAGCCCCTTACCTGTCTTCCTGTGAATTCTTTCCAGACCGCCTCTTATTTTTAGCTTCTCGAGATGATCGGATTTTCTTGGTGGGAGGTCCTGAATCTCTTCCATAGTCTTCATCTAAACAGAACATTGGTCAGCTGAATTAACTGTATTACATCACCACTATATTTACCGACATTAATTATCTCTTGTTCTAGTTAAGTGGCTAGCAGGATAGGATTTCCCAAATGGCTTCTTCCATTTTAAAACATTTTCTACTCTACTCTCCTCACAACTTTTGACTCCATTTATGCTATTACCCTCTAGTCCTCATGTACACATTATTAATTTATGATTTCCCATGTCTCAATACCTTTATATTTATCTGAAAATTATTAAAGTAATACTGTATAAGCATTCTAGAACATAAAAAACCCAATCCTACAATCCTAAAACAATTACTGTCATCAAGCAAATTACTTTTAATCTAATGCGTTAAATACACATTACGTATTCTGGCTACTCAGCTCAGGAAAACATGTCAAATTTCAAAAGTCCAATAAAATTTAACAAGACTACCCTGTGTTAAAAGGTGACTATGGCCAAAACGATTTACTGCACCATCACATACAATGGTAAGAAGCTGGAAGTGTCTGGAGCTTCAGCAATTAAGTGGTTATATAAGTTATAAATATTAAAAATAATAACCAATAGAAAATTCTCAAATAATCTTTAATAACATGAGAGAGAGGCTTGTAAGTACAAGTAAGAAGAAGCAAGATAGGGACAGAACCTAAAACTTGACAGCAAGACCTCAACTACATTTTTTTTTTGAGACAAAATGTTGCATATAGTTCAGGTAGGCTTGAATTAACTATGTAGCCCAGGCTGGCCTCTTACTCTGGGGATCCTCCTGCCTCAGCCTCCCAAGAGCTGGGATTATAGGCCCGAATGACCATATCTGGCTTCACCTATTTTTAAAAGGTAAAAAAGGTGAAAGTTAAAATATAGCTATATGGCTGGGCATGGTGGCACACGCCTGTAATCCCAGCACTTGGGAGGCTGAGGCAGGAGGATAACTGCAAATTCGAGACCAGCCTGAGCTACATAGTGAGTTCCAGGTCAATCTCAACTATACAGTGAGACCCTGTCTCAAAAAAAAACAAAAAACAAAACAAAACAAAATATAGCTATATGCTAGCTAAGGGATCTTGAATGTTATCTCTGCCTCCATTTCCATGACTGTAAAATGAGAACAATAACATATCTCAGAGAAACAGGTCTGTTCTAAGGAATAAACTACTAAATATGAACATTTAGAATAATTCCTGGCATGCAGAGCAAGAATTTAGTGTTAGAGTTACCTCTAGGATATAGGGTTGTTTTAGTTTTATACTCTTCCGTATAACTTTGTTTTCCCTAAAGGCACATATTACCTTTGTAAAGTCAGATTTAAAATAAAGGGTAAGGAAGGAAAAGAAGAAAAGTGAAAAGAAAGTAAAGGTACCTAAAAAATAATGAGATTTAAGGACACAACTCTAAAGAAACCTTTTATGGCTAAAATTTAAGATACAACACTCATTCTATGGATGCATTAGTTCACGAATCAAAGTGGTTTCACAAAATAGACTCTCATCTTACTTTACTATGCAAAAACTTAACTCCCGGCTCAGCCTCATACACGGTACAGGTTTTACATGGTAACACTCGGTTTACAAACTTAATTTGTTCCATGACTTTGGAAAAGACAGCCACAGTCACGTTGGTCACAAAACGCAGTTTGCAAACAAAAGTGTTCATGAAGCGAGGTACCACTGTAACTGCTTGCTTGCTTGCTTGCTTTGTCCCCCCCCCCCAAGGGTTTAACTATCTTGACCAGCTTGGCCTCATAAGAGCATCATAAGCATCATAAGAAATAAAAGCTAGCAGTCTTCCACCAGTTAGTCCAACAATTTGTTGAAATCACAGAACATACCTGCATCATCAGACTCCTGAAACTGTGAATAATCAACGACCTTCCTATTTCTGTAGAAAGAAGGGACTAATTAAGATCATAAAAATGCAAGACTGTCCCATGATATCAAAACACATTTAAAATTCATAAACAAAAACAGCTCCCTGAAAATTATTATTATTTGGTTTTTTTGAGACAAGATCTCCCTAGTAGTTCAGACTGGACTTGAACTCACTACGTAGCCCAGGCTAGCTACAAACTAGCAGCAATCCTCCTGCTTCAGCCTCCTAAGTGCTGGGATCACAGGTGTGTGCCACCCTGCCCAGCTAAAAATTATCTATAATGGCCCCCATATGTCAGCCCAATTACTTTACATTTTGTTACAGCAAAGTGCAGCTCAACCAAAAGGTTTTAAATCTACATACTGCTCATCTAAGTGACAGCCCAAATACCATTCTTCCCCACAAAAGCCAGCTCCCATAACATATACAGAAAATAGCCAAGCGATCCAGTTTACCACATATATTCATTATCACACAGATACAAGCCAAAACTAAATGTCTTTATTCTTACTGCTGTATGTATGAATAGATCCTTGATACATAAAATTAATGCAAAGCATTTTTCCCAAGACAAAAGCAATTTTTAGTTATAATAAGGTTGTATTATTACATCCAAAAAATTACGGTAACCTTAAAATAAGCCAGATATGCAAGAGAAAAGAAAACAACCAGACAAATCAAAAAAATGCATTTTTGACACTGTGGTGGTACTGGAGATCACATCCAGGAGCTGCAAGCTATACCCTCTGCCCTTTTTTTGAGAATCTTGCTGAATTGCTCAGGCTGGCCTCAAATTTAGGATTATGCTGCCTAAGATTCCCGAGTAGCTGGGATTACAAGCGTGCTCACCACATCAGGCTAAAAGATGTTTTTTATTACAGGGCATGTAATTTTTCAAAAGTATGAAAGTCACATAAATTTATGTATTTGATTCTAAATAATTTTAAGTATTTCTAACCAGGTAAGATATCTTTTAACATCAGAAACGAATATTGCCGGGTGTGATGGCACATGCCTGTAATCCCAGCACTCGGGAGGCTGAGGCAGGAGGATCGCTCTGAGTTCGAGACCAGCCTGGGCTACAAAGTGAGTTCCAGGTCAGTCTCAACTACATAGTGAAACCCTGTCTCAAAAAAACAAAAAACAAAACAGAACAAAAAAGATATGAATCTTGTTTTCTATTTTCCACTTTATACTCTGAAAGCTTGAAATTCCTTCTTTACAGGTATAACAAATTTCCCTGTCAGGAACTCAGACTAGCTTGCAAAAGAGCCTTAGAGCTGAGGGTTTAGCTCAGCAGTGCTTCTTCCACCTGTCTTCGCAAGTGGGCACAACTGAAGACCTAACTAGATATAAGCAAACAATGGACTGAAAGAAACCTATGCCACCAATTACAAGTCGGAAGGCAAGCCGGCCCCTCATTTGCCATACCGTGTCACGATATAAGCAGGGATCGGAACCTAAAAATATACGTGAGGCTCAGATGTAGACAAAAGTTACTACCACACTCTCCAAGTTAGGAGAAGAAAAAAAGTCCTTAGAGAATTTTGCCTTGTGTTTCTCTTTGTTTTACTAAAACTATGACACATACTCCAACTATATAAAATGGCAAGTGTGACTGAAGATTCCATACTGATGGAGAAATTAAAAAAACCAACTATTAACCCACTTACATGAGACCTAGTAGTCAAATTCGTGAACAGAAAGTAAAATGGTGGTGGCCAGGGACTAGAAGAGGGAGCAACAGGAACTATTTTCAGTTTTGCAAGATGAAGACTTGTAGAGATTCATTGTACAGCAACGTGACTGTACTTTATTAAACTACAAACTTTAAAATGGGTAGGACAGTGAATTTCATGTTAATTATACCACAGCACAATAAAAAATTTATTTCTAAAAAATGTGGTTATAAAAACACATTTTAGGCCGGGCATGGTGGCGCATGCCTGTAATCCTAGCACTTGGGAGGCTGAGGCAGGAGGATCACTGTGAGTTTGAGACCAGCCTGGCCTACATAATGAGTTCCAGATCAGTCTCAACTATGTACAGAGACCCTGTCTCAAAAAACCAAAACCAAAACCCAAACAAACAAACAAACAAACAAAAAAACACCACGTTTTAAAGTGTAGTGCTTTGTCAGACACGATGGGGCAAGACTATCATCTGAACACTCAGAAGCCTAAAGCAGGCTCATGAGTTTGAGGCCAACCACACCTAAACAGCTGGTCCAAGGCTACACTGGGTCACACAGTGAGACCCTGGTTCAAAAAAACAAAGTAATAAATAAGTAAGCAAATAAGTAGTATTTTCAGGTTAGTATGAAAATACTTCCCATGCTCTGGCAAAAACAGTGCGCATGCAGTAACGGTGACCAAACCCAGGCGTGCTCTGCTACCAGAGCTGTTATATATAACCCCAGGCCTTTTATTTTATTTTAGTTTTTTGGTACTGGGGCTCGAACTCGGGTCCTTGTGCTTTCGAGGCAAGACAGGCGGCGGCACCAATGAGCTAAATCCCCAGCCCAGGCCTTTTATTTTGAGTCTCCCTAACTGCCCAATCTGGGTTAATTCTAACGATAAATGCCAGGAAAAAACAGAATAGGCTCACCATGCAAAGAGCCTCATTTTCGGCATTATTTAGGGGTCAAGTAAATAAGACACGGAGTGAAAGAGAAGGAAATGATCCAAAAGAGGGAAGTTGCTTTTAAATTTTTAAAAATATAACAAGTCTGTGAAATAAACTGACCGTATAGATATTTTGCAGTGCTGGGGATTGAACCAGGGCCTCTCTCATGGCAGCCAAGTGCTCTTACCACTGAGCTTACACCCCAAGTCCCAAAGGAGGTAGTTTTGAATCTTCATTCCTAATGAGTACAGATTCTGAATTTGTAGGCACAGGTCTAGCTGATCCCGTGTTTGTGACATGGCAATGAAAATATTATCATTCAATTTCTCGGGGTTAGGTGCTTCAAAGCTGACACGACAAGAGTAATAAAGGTACCTTCTAGCAGCTTTACCAAAAGTTCAAGTGCAGATCCCACATAAAGCACTGTCTAACCTGCTAACTTTGCTAATAATGGCTACTTCCTTAGGCTAGCCTTCTTAACACTCCAGAGTTCTTCTCAGAAAACAGAAAAACGGCGGCGGGCCAGGGATTTAGCTCAGCAGTTCAGTGGCCTGCCTTGCAAGCACAAGGACCTGAGTTCAATCCCCGGTACCAAAAAAAAAAAAAAAAAAAAA